CCTGCGAGCCGCCGCGGGGCCTGCGGAGTAACGGTAAAGGTGTTGGCGAGCCGGCGGAAAAGCTGCTGTAATCAACCGCTTTCTGATCTGCGGTCGTGACCCCTCTCAGCTAAGCCCAGCGATCCGCTTTCGGTGGTTTGAACAGGTGCGGTCGTTAACTTCACACTCACCTTCACCCGGGCTGTGAGAGAGCTTAGCAAGGAAACGCTTGCGATAACCGTTTTATTTAGCGGTGGTTCCTCAGCGTTCCCCAGCCCTTCATCTGTCACTTGGTGACAGTATGCACCGTGTGACTCAGGAGGACAGGGATTAAGCTAAAAAGGTGTCTGATTCCCTTAAGCAAGTGGCTCAGCCAGCTGTTCCGGGCGGGGCCCTTTCACAGCCTTGGCTTTGGCCTGTGTGTTTCCCAGACTGGTGAGTCAGACTGCAGTCTGCACAGTACCAAAATGACTAGCATCCCTGCCTAGCCATGGCTGTCATCTTCAAGCTGTGATGTCTGTATGTAAATGCATGCTATGTGGCTTCAATACATGTCAGCAATGTAAACACTGAGAATCTGTTGCTTCAGCTAGACTTTTCTGCACTTGCCTCTTACCTACCAGTAAAAGAGGAGGAAGATACATACTCTTCTGAGGGGTACTGCTACTGCATCTTAAAATAGGGGCTCAGTTTCTCCAGGCCTACCAAGACAGCAGACTTCGGCCCATCTATTTGAACAGAATTTTATACTGATTTTACCACTTAAAAAATTTTACATAGCAGTTATCCAAATGATTGCTCTATGTGACAGCCATTCTTTTGGTCCAACAGCTAAGGGCTAATGTGGTTGTCCCCTCCAGATTTTTTTAAATGTATTTTTTTCAACAGTTTTCCAGTTGGCAACCCTTCTTCACTCAATTTGTAACAACTTTTCTAACATTAAGTTAAAGGTAATTAACAGCTAATTCTAAACACATGTATGGCAGCATCCTATAATGGCTACAGGTTGCATCTTTTCTTTGTTTTCACTAGTGCCTGAGAAAAATGTAGCCTTTCCACAGGTGCTATGCAGCAATATCTCCTTCTAATAGATAATGTATCTGCAATCTCAGGCATTTTTTTAAAAAGAGCAATTAACAGTTATTAAAAAAAAACTGCTTAAATAAAAATAAGTGTTATGTGGTGATTAATACATAAGGTTGCATAATGCAAACAGTTAAAGTCCTATGCTGTACTATTTTCCTTATCTTTAGGAGACGATTAAAAGCGAAGCCACATGAGTACCCTTTTCTCCTCTTGGAACTGTTGCAAATTACTTCAATGCTGGTCACACTTATGTCCGTGCCAGGGTCAGTGGCAGACAAAGGCGGTTTTTCGCATGTATCAGAACACTTACGAGCTTTCTCAGGGAGGTGGCAATCAATCTGTGTGCCTAGTTTTAAATCCCATACATTCAGCTATTTCAGTTATGAGTACTTAAGCGAGGTGGGCTAGTCCAAGAGCACCCTACCTACATCACTCTACTTTGCTATGTAAAACTGAGCTTTTGCTCAAACTTCAAATGGTATTTATCCTATGATCAAATTCAAGGGTTGAAAAACTTCAGTCATACAAACTCTAGCAGCTTAAAATAGCCAGAAAAGGGGGATTTATGTGCAGGCCTCACTCATCAACACTTTAACAAAATAAACAATCATAATAAACAAGTTTTGAGATAGGCCTCAAAATGTAACACTTCAGAAATGTCTTCTACGGCTACTACAAGTGTGTTCAGCCTACTATTTCTGGAAAAACACATCTTAGGTGAACAGCCTCTAGGAGGCCCATAGCTTTTTCTTATTGGTAAAAGGTCTTTGGCATACGGGCCAAAAGCAGGCCTGATTACTACACAGGAAGTTTGGGGAAGCTGCACCTCTTGAGTGTATCCACCCATCAAGTTTTGTGCTCCTTAATACAAAACTAGGTCATTAAAGATTGACATGCCTGGAGGGCACAATGAGCACTCAGTGAACACAGCAGATGATTCTTTCACAGTCTTTTTTTTTTTTTGGTCAAAGTATCTATGAATCTAATTTGTTCTCACAGCACTACTGTGTGCACCTTGGATCAGACACAAAACAGTTACTTTTTTAATGCCTTATGACTTGAAAATTGTTTTGGCCTCTTAACTTAGCATAAAAGGTCTTTGCCTTCTATATTGCATGTGTCACATTGTGCTTATAAATATTGCCAAGATGAGCATACTTGTGGGCTCTCCTTTTAGCCTGTCTTACAGCTAAATTAAAACACTCTTATCATATAAACTTCTACTACTTGCCAAGAGTCGTTAACAGGCTTTTAAAAACTGTCCTATAATAACTGTTTCATGTCATTGTTACTGTTCAGCAGTGAGGTGCTACTGCCTGGAAGAAAGGCTTTAGGGATTTGCCTTTCAGAGAACGTTATTTTCAATCTCCCAAGCAGCTCTCTGAAACATAATTCCCTGAGCTGGATATATGTATATTTAATTCTCCAAGCTGTTCAGAACAGAAATGTATACTAGAGCATAACAGCCACTGTATGTAGATTCTGGCAGCCTGATCGTGTTTCTGCTGGCCCTGGTTAGCACGTTGCAGGTACAACTCCAGTTCTTACCTGAGAGAAAGGACAAAGGCAAATTAAAAAAAAAAATCTAGCTACGACGACAAACCATGCAAGAGGTCATTTAAGCGTGGTTGTTCATAGCCGTGTTAATATCTGTGCAACTAGCGCAAAGTCTTAGTATCAGATTTCTGCAGCACACTTCTAAACTTTCATAGGTGGAGAATATTTCATACAAAAAATTTTAAGTATAAAATGCAGCATAAAATATTTATTTTCTGAAAACCATGCACAAATTTAAATCATATTCACATATGGTGGCATTTTCCCTTTTTAATTAGCCTTCATGATACACTCTGGTATAAAAATAACTTGCTGGAAAATGTACAGAAGTATTTGAGAGGTACTCCATAGGCTTCTTTCGAAGAACAATCCCCCCCTTTTAGGTTTCACATCTTACAATAAGGTTTTGTACCTTAGGACTATACAAACAGCAACAGCACTTAGGCTTTTGTAAAGCTTTCGGGCACCTTTTTCAAATTTTAATTTCAAATATTAACGGACCAGATAACGCCAAGATTAATGGGAATGTTTACCCTTTATCGTCAAGTATGATTATTAAAGAAAAGGAAATATTTGGCCCTACTACAAAAGGAAAGTTGAATTAACTCCTGTGATTTACTGAAGCTGTCAGTGAGGAAACGTTTCATACTTCATACTGCCAAGGTAAATCAAGGTGAAACTAGTGGTAGGCCAGTAAGTGATCAAAGTTCCCCTGAATTACACTGGCAGTTTATTAAGCAAAACATACTGAATTCTTTTAAAATGCTATTGAGGTTTATTCTACCGTCGTTTCCCTCCCTCCCTCCATTTCACTTCTGCCTTTTGTGAATGCAGCTGTTCTATATATTATCTTTAAGTCAGATATATTTTAAAACAATCTTATTAAACCGCAGAAGGGAAAAATCCAGGGGATAAAATGTGCAGAAGCACGTAAGTAACTCCGGAAGCCAGTAATTTAGGCTTATAAACTGTTGTTTTTAAAATGAATACTCAGTACAATTAGAAAGAAATAGGTTTTACCATATATTAATTCCAGGGTAAATGTAATGGAGATGTTCTAGTCCAAATATAGTTTTAATAAACGGCATAAGGGCTTTTATGTGAGTCTACACATGAGACTCAATAATATATCATAACACAAAATCGCTTTAAAAAAACTGCCAGTTTAACAGGAGAACAAGACCTAGAAAATGATACATGCGATACCAAATGGGGCACTTAAGAACTACAGTTTTATTCTGAATAATTTGAGACTGATCACAGTTATTTTAGCACCATGGAAAACATTACACATTCATTTCTTATGCTTATAACAAAGCAGAATTTTAAAGAATGGAGTTAAGGCTAGCAAAATGTATACCCTTTAATATCAAAAACAACATACAAAATGTGATGTCTATAAAGATACTTTAAATGCGTCAGTGTCATCAACAGTAGCACGCATTTTAGTATAAAATATTATCAGTCTAATCTTAGCATACACAGTTCTGAAATGTTAAAAATGTTGACACAATATATAAGACTAAAAGGCATATTAAAAATATGCAAAAGTTTAATAAAAACCTCACTCACTGTCTGGAATTTTAATGGTGCTATGTTTGTCAATAATGAAACACAGGAATGGAGATTATTACTTTTCCTCATCTATTAATCTCTAAACCTTTTCTCCCACATTCCAGTGCTACAGCTCCTATAGTAAATGTGCAATGTTTGTATGCCACGGTGAAAACATATTGTATATATACATACACACACAAACACAACCTTGTAATATCAGAGGGTCAGTTCCAATAGAAGAGTTAAGATGCCTAAAAGTCAGTTTCTGAAACACTGAATTTTTAGCCTGCAGCTCTCCAGAGTGAGATCCAGACCCCAGGTGTGGCGGCAGCTCCACACTCTGCTCCGAGAGGACTGTTGAGCCCCTCCGCCTGGGCTCCGACAGAACGAGCAGCGAAGCAGAAAGCAGCCTGGTGCCCACGCGGCGAGAACACGGCTGCTCAATCTAATCCTTAAGGACAATCCTAAAGATGGCGGCATCTTGAGGGACTTCATTCAGGGCTGCAGGGAAGCATCTCCTGTCCCTTTGGCATGTACTACCTGATGCAAATAACAGAGCAGGGTGTTTTGGCTTTCAGGTGGTAGCATCCACCTTTTACGTAATAAGCATGTGATCTGAGTATTCATCTAACACACATGATAACTGGGTTCAGTTTCTATTGTCTGAGATGACTCAACCTCAGTCTCCCACCTCATGAAAAAGTGCCTTGTCTGGCTCTGGCTATTCAAAGGTTTAATGCAGGGGGGAAGTCTGAGAAAGGAAGGCTGAAAAAGTACTATCTATATTCAATATGGTATGCATCAGCTTTTAAAATCCAGCGCCTCTAAAGGGAATTTAGGAATGTGTATGCCCAGACATGATGCATAAAGAGCCAAAGGAGAAAGATGCCATTATTTACCTCATCTGACACCGAATATACATATACATCTTTTCATATATAACAATGACCATGATTTAAAGATGACCATGATGAAAAATGACATATTAAATTACAGCACATAGAGCAGGATTGTAAATTTCACCACCCTGGCATCTTCAATGAACCTCTTTCTACCCAGTTTCTTCTGAAGGTTACCCTGAAAATATTTAATGGAAAAAGGAGGACAATAATTCTGTTTACAGGACGGGAGAGCAACGTCTATGAAAAGCACTTCATGAACTGCTTGTTTGGTTTTTTTTAAACTGATGTTTTAATTTTAGAATCAATCTCCAACTAGATTAAAACTAGCATAAATTAGGTCATCAAAATATGAGCTTAGTAGTTTTCATACAAATGGATTTTCCCACCTAAAATTAAGTTCTGTGATAAAAATGTATTTACATTTACTCAGCCAAAATTAAAATTGAATTTCTGGTGCTTCTCTGTTTCAGTTTTCAGAATAAACACCACCTAAGAGAAAATTCAATGTCATACTATGATTTTTGCATAAATGGACTAAATATTGATTGTTGTATTGGCTTTTTTTTGGCGGGGGGGGGAGAGAGACAGCTGATCTCATTTTTAAAACTTCAGGGCATACAGTATGCAGTATATATCTCAATAAGTTTCTTAACAGTTAACTAGCCTCACTACTAACAATTTGAACTTTACTTCAATTCTAAATTAATCTAATTAAACTTTAGGGCACAATCTTGTTACAATTAGGACCAATAATGAGCTTTTCCTAATGGAAACGGACAGTGACAATGCTAACAGAATCATCTCTGAAATACAATTTGCTTTCTAGCTTTTCTGTTTTTTTTTTTTCCTGCAGTGTTTCCAATTTTACTGTTGTAAAACAAGCACTGACATCTGAAATAGGTTCATTATTTCAACATCATCACACAAACGTAACTTCCTTACTCCTAACTCTGCATCCCCCTCCTGTGGCATCCCAAGCAAAACAGCTGTTTTTGACATGAGTCAGCCATCCCTTTCATAGTGTCTTTTTTTTTTTTTTTAAACATTGTCTTTTATCTTGTAAGCATTAACTTACATTTTTAGCTACTCCAGTAAAAGAATTTGCATTTTTCTGTATGTTTTTAAACAGTTCAGCAAGAATTAATCCTTACCAGTGTTACACTATTTCTGTATCATTTATAAAATTTAACAGCAATTATTTTGTATTCTATCCTAGATCATTTATAATAGATACTACAGAGCACCAGGTCAGGAAGATGCCACAGTTAGGTCAAGATGTCTGATAACAACAATTTCAAATTGCATTACTGCTAAAATGCAGCTTAATTTTTGGTTAAAAACCCATAAAGGTAAAACATATGAAAAATAAGAACTATGATAAATATTTATCTTTATGAAACTTTTCATAACAAAGCAATATGAAATAAGAGGCTTTCATCACACTTACGAACATCTTTTACATTACCCAGATAGAAGATAATACTGAATAACACATTCTACAGAAATACGGCAGTCAAGAACAGTGTAGGCTGTTAACCTCATTTCAGTAATGAAGGCAGCATTTTGTAGTTATTTTAATTAACAATACTACTAATATTTTACGGAAATTTTCAGAAGTACTTATGACATTCAGAAGAACAAGTCCCAGTGAAACATAAAGGGACCTCTGTTCTTAACGTGCTTTTTTTCCACTCCCAAATCTCTCTCATACACCTCATTATCATTTCAATTCTTTTAAGCCTCACTCTCTTGGGGCAGGAATCGAAATCCTCCAAGATAAACAAGGTATGAGCTCTGGTCTTCAATAACTAAGATGCCTGCATGATTACGTTGAAAAGATTTTTGAAAATTAATGTATGTAAAGTTTCTAAGTAATAGCATTGCTAACAATGTTTTACATCACAGATGTACATGGGCTTTCTGAGCAAATTAATACAATTCCGGAAGAAGGAAAAATTACAAAAGACGTTGCAGGTTCTAATTTTAAAATAATACACCTCTAGCTTATGTAAAGAAAACTAGTTAAGAAAATGCACGTAAATGCACGTTTAGTCTTAGGATCATGTTTAGCTTGCCCTTAGCTAAAGGGCACATCTACGCAGGACAACAAAAACTGTTGCTGTTGAACGGACCTGAAATAAAGCATGTTTAAGTATTCCATTGCAGTGCTGATCCATATCCACAAATAAACAATGCACTTGGAAGTGTTATATGATAAACTGAAAAGCACAGTGTCCTCATCTCGGACAACGTATTATGTTTTCAGATATTTTTCAGAGAAAGAGGTGTTTCAAAAATATGTGCTTGACAAACATTACATAAAATCTAGGAATATTTAAGTAATGGGAATATTTTAGTGCGTTAAGCAAGTAATACGGTATGCAAAGACATTTCTTTATATTTGAATAAAATACGGCGCTGTATCCTACATGCAATTGAACATAGCTGTAAAGACCCACAACAAAGCTGCATGTTCACTTAGTGCAAAAATCTTTTCAATTTTTGAATGTCATTTTAATAGCTCACGTGTATATCTCCACATGTTAAAACAACTCAGTATTATTGCACTTAGAATGTATTCTTTAAAGCTGTCTTCTGTGTAAAAACTAAAAAAAATAAGAACTTAAAGATACAACAGAAGAATTGGAAATTTAGTCTAATTCACAATACTGCTTCAAAGTACTGCTGTCAGTACGATTTCAAAACTATCAGTTATTTTGAAGTTTAGCTGAAAAAAAAATACACATATATGTTAATAGTACAGCCTTGGTAGAAAAAATGTGGCAACAATCTATCATTCAGCAGCTTTACTTCTGAACGTATCTGCTTTCTGAGCTTAGTTTGTGCATATTCAAAACCTGTACCTATGACAAATTTCATCCTTAATATTCTTTGTTCATGATACTGTGAAAAGTTGTATCAGTGCAAGAAGAGGTCAATGTTTTAAGCAAACTGAGCATGCTGGAGTAATAAGAGAAAATAAAAGAAATGTTTTGTTTAGTAATTTAGCTTTCTAATGCGAAACGGTATCAGCAAGAGTTAAAGGGAATCAAAAAGATGTATATTCACATTGATGATGTGAACAGAATTTTGAGAGATTTTAAAACAGCACAGGAAACTTTAAAAAATAAATCAGTCATAAGAGCTCCTAAATGTTCCAGTATAAACACTCAAAGGTGTTGCCTGCATTGGATGGACCATATAATTATTGAAGAGTCCTGGATCAGTGAATCAAAAACAGCTTTCACGCTTCCAGAAATGTGTTCTGATGAATTAGAAAAATATGCTCTTCACACACAGAATCACTATGCATGTACACACTAATGCTATAAAACTTCAAATACCTTGAAAACGTGGCTTGAAATCAAATGCAAGGACTCGTCCAAAAAAAAAAAAAAAAAAAAGCATTCAATGGTATAAAAGATTCTTGCAATTTGAGCAATAGTTCAAAACTCCCTTAGTATCATTATATTTTCAGCCAAAACCTAGAATCTGATATAGCTTTTGTAGGAGAAGGGTAGCCTAGTAGAGGAAAAGCAAGCATCAAAAACCAGATTCCATTTCTTTAACTGGCTTTTCTGCAGTGTCTGACACCAAAGTGCTTTCATTTTCCAGCATTTTCTCAGTCGTTTCTCCATCAACAGTTTTTGCTCTTTCTTTTAACTTCTGCCGTTCATGGACCCATGGGATAAAACATAATATAGCGCCGCCAATAAGGGGAGGAACTCCAGCCAGGTAGAATGCTATGTCATAGGTACCTAGGTGGTCACGCAGTAAACCTGGAAAGACAGAAAATTATCACTGATACACAATGGAGCCTTGGGAATCCATTAAAAGCATGTTCATTCTTTGGACTCAAAAAATTGAGGGCTGGCACAGATTACTATAATCACTAATCTGACTACTTGAAGGCCAAATATAGGCATATCTTTTTAGAAAGGTATTCCAGAGTTGATTTAAAGGCTTCAAGTATCGAAAGATTTATGTTACCACTCAACTGCTTAATTACCATGCATTGTTAAAAACATGCATTGTATTTCCTATTTGAATGTTGTTTATTTCAACTTCTCCAGCATCTGAAGCTTGTAATATCACTGACAAATTCTCACTTTTAGTAACACCTGCTTTTGATCAAGGTGCCTCTTATTTTAGATATACTGCACATATTGAAAAACCTGCCTTTTAAGAAGAGTCTACCAGGAAATACAACCTCCTCCAAATAGCCAAATGCTAGTTAGGTAACAAAAGCTGAGATAGCGTATCCAGAAATCATCTGGTTAGTCTATTCTAGCTTTAAAATCTACTCTCTATAATGCTGCATAGTTCAGTTACATCTTACTAAACATCTTTCAGTAGCACTCACAAGACCTTAGGATAAACTGTGGTCAAAAATCATCAGTGGTGGTAAAGATTTTAGCTTAAGCAGTCTTCACCTCCCAAGAAACTTTCATCTTTAAAAACCTGTATTTTGTCAAGCAGTCCTCCATTAAGGAATGAAACAAAAGCCAGTGCTTCTGTTTAGAAGAAGCAATTAAAGTGACTGGTGCTTTTATCCTCATAACTGTTTTTACATGAGTTAAGTTTTGGAATCCAGTTAACTTTCAAATTCTAACTCGGAGTCCTGTAACACAATCAAAATCTAGGCTATCCACTCAACAGTACGGAAAATGTCAGCTCCTCAATCCAATCTGGAAGCCTCTATTTCTTTTGAGAGGAATCATTTACCTCTGCATTATTTAATAAAAAAAGATCGAAGCAAACTTTAAACAATAACAGTATATCAATAACCGAGGAGCAGCAGATAAACTCATCATACATTCTAGAGCAAGGCAAGAGAAGACATCCAATTTAAATGCACGGCATATGACGCAGGAACAGAAGAACTGGCAATGAGAAAAAAAAAAAACACCCATACAACTCTAGGAAAATATTTACAGCTATCTACAGACTGGGTCTGCACTTACCTGCAATGGGTGGACCAACTGTCATAGGTATTGACATGAGTCCTAGTAGAAATCCTATGGCTTGGGAGACATCCTGAGCACCAACAAGCTCAAAGGCAATAGGAGCCATAATGCAAATGAAGCATCCATCAAACAGGCCCATGAAGAGACAGACAGCAATGAGACCTCCAAAGACATGGCACAGTGGAATCATCATAGACATCAAGCCAATGAAGAAGAATGAGGTCACCTAAACGTGATCAAGGAAAAATACAAAAACATATTACATCAAATAAGCCAAGATAAGAGAGTAGATGGAGCTTTCTTGCATTTGTAAGCAATTAAACTGCCTGCCCCTATTTCCTTTAGGATAAATATTAGCACCCTCCATGGATAATTACCGTCAGAAGTTACAAACCAAGATAAAACAAAAACCTAGGACTGTCACAGCATACAGTCAAACTCGACCCATTTCACTTTTTTCCAATGTCTTTTTCATTACCTATCCTGCAGTAGACAGATAATGAAGTCATTTCTTGCGCACTGACATTTTTTTAGAAGTTACTCTTTAGTATTTTTAGAAATAAAAGCTGCAAAGGATCAAAAATTTGACATAGCCAAAATACTCCATAATTAGGCATCTCACAGTTGTCATTAAACACTGTAACCTAAGTAAAAATATCAGTATTACTATGAGTGATTACTTCAGGGTACTTATAGTCAACAGAGGTGGTTTTTGAAAGTCTCATTTCAATTTTTTCACATCAACCCACCTTGCTGTATTTATAGTCTTATCAGCACTGTATTTAAGATTATTCTTTGTAGTAAGTTAAAGGAATCAAACTCCATCTTTCAGCAAAATGAAGCAGAAGTTAATCAAAAGAAAATCAAAAAAAAAAAAAAAAGAAAGCAAGCTTTGTTTGTGCGTCATCCATAGCACACCACCTAATTGCACAAACAGGTTTTCCAAACAGGGTATCTGCATTATGCATTCGTCACCTGTAGACCATTAAAACAAAAACAAGGTTACTTAAAAACTACACAAGTTTTCAAAGGATAAGTGACATCAAATATATGAGTTCACTAGGAAAAGTCTGCAAGCAGACACCTGGACAAGACTTAATTTTTTAGGACAGCATAAAAAATTCTTTTAGGTACTGTATGTTATTCAGCATACTAAAAGAAACTGTTGTGAAATATCTGCAGTATGATATACAGAAACAGAGACAATTAAGGAACTGGGTTGCTTATAGAAATGTAAGGATAAAGGTGAAAGAATTCTTAGTTCTTCTGCGAATTACATTACATAAAATATAGAAGGCTATTTAAGGTGAGTTTATATCTAAGAAATAATGTGGTTATCCGTAGATAAACTGCAGAAAAGATGTCGTTGACCAGATTCATCTTTAGCCTATTATGACAAAAGAAGCACTAAAAACAATCACTAAACTCTTCAGATCAAAAAGAGAGAAAGCATCGTTCTCTTACTAAACGTGATTTATAAAGCAAAATTCAACAAAAGAGCTCCTTAAGAAGGGATTCAGAAAAGGAAGGATAACGGTTAAATTTGCAGAACAGACCTGTTCATTAACCAGTGTAAGCTGTTCAACTATAAGACTCAAATTCTAAGTGGAAATACAATTTCATTTGCATTTGTCAAATTTAATTCTGAACCAATTTTGCAAGGAGAGAGAGTACTAGCTACACTGCACTCAGTGCTGGGAAAGACTGAAGATTAAGAAATACTGACTATACAAATATTCATGTTACTCTTACTTATTCAAAGCAAGATTTACAGACAGATAAAGTTGTCTCTCTAAACCAAAAAGTTATGAAAATAAAAGCTTTTTGGCACAAACTCTCTCTAGGTCCCCTACAAATTCTGCCTTTGTTTTGTCTATAACCATCACGTCTGCAACACCACCATCATTCAGCTTAGAGATACAAATGAAAAGAACGATGATATGAACTGTTGGACAAACCTGAATAACACCCATGAGATGTGGTGAATAGTCATTTTCACTCCTAAAAATGCTGATTTGAAACAAAAGAGCTAAAGATGGAGACAGATGCAGCACATGGCTTAACTATGGGGAATATGCTTTCTTCCTGCCTATAATTAGTTGAAACCAACAATACTCAGAAACAAAAGTGTCAGAATTTATACCCTAAACAGAAAAGTTATCGGTTTTTAGTTTTAGTCATCTGAGGAAAAAAAAAAAAAAACTTTCAATTTTTTTCTGCAAGTTTGACATGTATCACATAGAAAGAACTAAAGGTATTTGTGCCTTGTAAATCATATATATTTCAGTGTTGCCTTTTCACTGTTTGTCCTAATAATAATGAAGTTTCCTAAAAATGCAACAATAGGTAGTGAATCAATCCAAATGAATGAGATATAGTCCCAGTCTTTTACCAAGGAGGCTAAGTATATGTAACTATGGCAACAAATGCTGCATGTTCAGAAAGGTCCTTCTCCAGTTTTTGTTTTCAATGATGTAGTACAGATAATAGCCATTAGATGTCTCCCTTGTTATTTCTCTTTTTAAAACAAACTACCAACAACAACGGTCAAGAACACGTAAGCTATTACAACTAAAGCTTTTTTAAAAATCTGCACTACAGCTAGCACTTTCTCAAAAAATAACGTTTATAAGTGTGGAAGAAAAAACGCCTAGCCTCCTCCATCCCCAAACTTCAGCATTTCTGGAAGCTGGAAGAACAGTAATTTATTTTCCCCATGTGACTATTTCTACTACTCTCATCACTGAAGATGCCAAGTAACCCACTTCATTCAGCAGAATCTTCTCAAGTAAGTATCTCTAATATTCGCATAGCATGCAATATGCGCAGGACATACTTGCCACCTAGTTATCATCCAACCAAGATCAAGAACAAAAAATCCAAAATCCTTAGTAGAGGCACATGAAGAAATCTTTCTGTAAAAAACTTGAAATCATGGGATAAATGGCAAAGCAGAATCTAGAGAATGCCCAAAGGTTTTGTCCCTCCCATGCTAAACATTAGTGTTTCATTCTCAACTGAGAACAGCCAGCAGGCAGTACCTACGTTTTATTAGCATTAAAAAAAAAAAAAAAGTCAGCAATAGAGATTCATGAAGTTTACAATGAAGGCCCCTTGTACCAAAAGCCATACATTCAGTTTCTAGAAGTTTGAAATTTTTCAAATTTGAATACCCAGTTAATTCTATTTACTTACAGCACCTGCCAACAAAACCTTCAGAATATTGTTTTTATATTCCTTCACAATTGTGCGAAGACATACCTGTAAATAGACCTTTTTTGCACCAGGAATATAATCTGCAACTCTGCCGAAGATCAATCGGCCAATTCCCGAAGTAATGCCCAGACACAGCAGAAGCACCTCTTCTGGCACGCTGTCACCAAATCTGTCTTTTACATGCTTCATCTGTTTAAAAAGAGGAACGAGAAAATAAATTGGCTTTAGAATGAAAAACAGGAGAAACCTTAGAAAATTTGGTATTAAACAGAAGTAATCCATGAATCTCTGAGACTTAAAGAACGGCTACAAATAATAAACTTCCTTATTCTGCTTTTACAGCTGCTAATATATTTTTCCACTGGCATACGTGTCAAGTGTGATATCAATAACACCAATCTGAAAATATGTTAGTTTATTCACAACTATCGGAGAACTTAGTTCAAGAAAACAACATGGCTACATCTAGCACAGAAATGTTCCCCCAAGCACATACATTTTACTAGCAATAGATGTAACCTAGTGTGGAACCCACAAAAGATGATCTCTACAAGAAGCGGCTGCCCCACTGCCCAGGGCACACCTGGAGGTCTAAAGGCACTGAATGATTAATGATTATCATGGCGGTACTGTTCTGTGCATTAAGACAGAGATACATACTACCAAATTTGTAACAGTTCAGGGCAGAAGCAAGAAGCAGAGGGCCAGAGAGCTGGAGGTCAGACTCTAATCCCTCCAGCCTTCAAAAAGGGCAAGAAAGAGGATGCCGGGAACTACAGGCCTGTCAGCCTCACCTCCATCCCGGGAAAGGAGGTGGAACAGCGCATCCTGGAGGCCATCTCTAAGCACGTGGAGGTCAAGAAGGTGATCAGTAGTCAGCATGGATTCACAAAGGAGAAATCATGCTTCACCAATCTGATAGCCTTCCATGACAGCGTGACTGGCTGGATAGACGAGGGGAGAGCAGTGGACGTTGTCTACCTCAACTTCAGCAAGGCTTTCAACACCGTCTCCCGTAACATCCTCACAGGCAAGCTCAGAAGCGCAGGCTAGAGGAGTGGACAGTGAGGGTGGACTGAGAACTACGGGCTGAGTGGCAGAGTTAAAAGGGTTGTGACCAGTGGCACAAAGTCTACTTGGAGGCCTGTAGCTAGCAGCATCCCACAGGGGTCAACACTGGGTCCCGTACTGCTCATCAATCAGCTGGATGATGGGACAGAGCACCTCCCCAGCAAGTTTGCTGGGGATACAAAACTGGCAGGAGTGGCTGATAACACATCAGAAGGCTGTGCACCATTCAGAGGGACCTCGACAGGCTGGAGAGACGGGCAGAGGGGAGCCTCGTGAAGTTCAGCGAAGGCAAGTGCAGAGTCCTGCCCCTGGGGAGGAATAACCCCACGCACCAGGACAGGCTGGGGGCCGCCCTGCTGGAAAGCAGCTCTGCGGAGAAGGACCTGGGACTCCTGGTGGACAACAAACATCTGAAGGGAGGGCGTAAACAGGATGGAGTCAGGCTCTTCTCCGTGGTGCCCAGCGACAGGACGAGAGGCAACGGGCAAAAAACTGACACATAGGAAGCTCTTTCTGAACATGAGAAAAAAAACTTCTTCCCTGTGAGGGTGACAGAGCCCTGGAACAGGTTGCCCAGAGAGGTGGTGGAGGGAGTCTCCTTCCCTGGAGATATTCAAAAGCTGTCTGGACACAGTCCTGGGCAACGAGCTCCAGGTGACCCTGCTGGAGCAGGGCAGTTGGACGAAATGATCTCCAGAGTTCCCCTCCAACCTCAACCGTTCTGTGATTCTGTCATTAAGTAACTAAAAAATAACTAAAATCCGAGCCACGTAATAGAATCCCTCTACTTCTAGGGACTTAAGTAAAAGCAGGGAGTGAATAACAACCTGATTTTCAGTCAGCATAGGATAGGAAGAAAATAACAAAGCAAGGAGAGAAAATGGGGCAGGAATAGCTGCAGAATTTTCAGGTACGGAGATAGGATGTAGACAGTGGATTGGCAAGCCAGTTGGACGAGATGATCTCCAGAGGTCCCTTCCAACCTCAACCATTCTGTGATTCTGTGAGACAGTGCATGCAAGAGGGGCACTACAGACTGACTCATCCTGTGGTCACCATGCCAGCCAGAGCGAAGGAAGAGGAGCAGGAACCCCCTTCAGTGCCCACCAGCAGGGCAAGCACTTCCAGGAGACAGTGTAGCAACAGCAGCAAGGAATAAGGCTGACTGGAAGACTGACTTAACAGCTGCTTTGACAAAAAAAAAAAAAAAAAGAAAAAAAAAAAGAAAAACATGAAAACCCACAAGACTGGTTTGATATATTTAGATTTTTTTTTTTATTATTATTATTATTCTTTCTGGTTCCAGAGCCTTGGAAGCACAAGATTTTCAATGTTTTCCTTATCAACCACAAAGAACATAAATTACCTGTATGTAAGATTCTCATGCAATCACTTTTTGAAACACTGCTGGTAATATCAAATAAGCCAATGTGAGCATGAGGAGATAGATAAATGACCTGCATAGTCCTGCAATCTCCCTTTCCTACTTGTAAAAGTACAGACCAACTGGACTGAAAACAGCTTCTGAATAAGAAGCTATAAACATTCAGAGGTGTGAAGAAGCACACTGAGAAAACAGATTTTAAAGAAAGATATGGTAAAAAGATAGCAAAGGCTGCACACTAATTTTTGTTACCAATTCTGATTATGTGCTACTCCCGTATCTATACAATTGAAAACTCCAGTTTTAATAAATACTTACAGAATGAAAGAGTCAGGATTATTTTTTGTCCAGAGTACTAACACACAAGCAGAGCTATTTTTTTTCAAAATAAATAGCATTTGCTGAGTGGCGGGGGTTTTTTTTGACATAAATCTTTTTTTTTTTTTTTTAGTTTACATACCATGGAAAGCCTGTTTAATATTACTTTGCCAAATATTTTTTCTTCCTTTCTGAAAAAAAATCAATTATAAGGGTTTTGTTTTCTGTTTTAAGAATGACTTCTAATTTCAGTTGAAAGACAGATGCTTGCTCTTTGCAGTTTTGAGGGGTTTTTTATTTGCTTTTTGAGACATACTTGGGGAAAAGAAATTTCTCTCCTGAAAACATATTTAAACATAAAAGATAAATTGTTTCATTCATTCCCTTTCTGTCAAAGAGGAGAAGAAGAAAAGCTGGTAGTTTTCCCATGCCCATCTCTGTGTGTCTGTCAACACCTGCTGTCCCAACTGACAAGACAAGCATAGGCATCTTCTGTCACTCTTTTCACCTGTTCCACTTTCATATTTCTGCCATTTCTAGCTTGTTTAATTAGCAGATCTGATTCATCCACTCCTCAGAGGCTTTTCAAGAGAGAAGATACAGCTCTACATCTAGGTAACTATGAATGCTCCACTTACAACTGAGTAACTGGATTTCTCAAAGCAAAACTCAGAGGGTGAAATGCTGTGCTCTCTCAGATCAGGCTTAAATGAAATGCCTCCAGAATTCAGACTTCCCTAAATTTCAACTCTAACACAACTGCTCAAAAATCCCTTGATGGGTAATGACTTGTGAACTTCTTCAGCCAAAGTCTCATACAGCAATATTCTTTTTTCATTAGAGAACTTATGCAGCTCTCTATATATGACTAATTGGTCATCTTAGTCTGCAATTTTGAATCCAGACACCCAAAACGATTCTAGACTTGTATTATGCATAAAATTTAGCCAAATAGGTACAGGAATACTGCCTTAATCTATTCATGTAACTGTCTATTGCTATCACGACTTTCACAAAACCATTAGTGTTATCACAATACAAAATGGTCTTGTAATTCCACTACCCACAGATTAAAACATACAGTTTCTTTTCAGGCTGAAGGTGCAAAAAAGTAAAACGGGAAAGACAAACTAAGTGCAAGTCCAAATAAAGATATCAGCAACTGACAGGACATCACTGGATGGGCATATGTAGAAAAATTATACTCGTGCTCATCTACAAGACGACAATTAAACCTTCAAAATTTCAGAAAACTAAAAGCCTGAGTTTATTTCACATACATCCGAGAAAAGAACAGCCTTCCTGATGACGTACATGTCCTTCTATTCTGTTAGTGCCATGGTTTTATCAGACAGTAGCCTTGCTCCAGTGAACAAATCATCTACATGCCTGAACAAATTGATTCCTTCAAAGGCGTGGAGAAACATCCTAACTCTTGCCTTGATAAAGATATAGCAAGAACTTTGAAGAGAACTGTCCTGAAAGGTTGAAAGTTTCAGAATGTCCTGAAAAACAGAGCACGAAATAACCTTGGGTAAGTCAGTGTTTACTCTGTAACAAAAGGACTCAACAAGAAAAAGAGGAAGAAAAAAAAAACAACAGAGGAAAAAACTTGGTTGCCAGACAACTATACAGATATTAGGCACAAGGGAGAGCATTTAATGTAAATTTAATAGAAATACATTTCTGATTCAGACTCTACTGGAGAAAGTTTTACTGATGATCCCAAAACCAGCAAATGAACACCACCAACTCCTGAAATGATCCTGACTCCTAAACATCAACTGCAATCTGATCTTCATGAGAAATTACACTGCCTATAGGTAATGTAGATCTATTTCAAGGGAGTGCTATCATTTTGATATAAAGTAGCCTTTTTTTTTTTAATTAAGGCTTTCCACATGACCATGAAAAATACCTATATATACACATCTTCCAGATAATTCCTGTTTACCTCCTGCCACAAAACAACAGTGATGCTTCCTCTTTCTACCTCTAGTCAATCTTAATCTATGTAATTTGTTTTACAGTCATCACAGTAAGATCTCTGCCTTGGTTGCCATATTTGACTTAAGAGTCCATGAGAATATAATGCAGGCAGATTTCTTGCCAGAGCCAATGGGGTAGTGAACAAAGACAGAATGAAAGAAGTAAGATTATTGTATGAGAATCAGAAAATTTTCTATTCTTCTTTCAAGTAAAGCAGATAAAACAGAATAATCCCTACATCATTAAGATGCAGAGCAAATATAATCTGAAATTCTTCAGTAAAAATGAACAGGTATGAGGTTAACCATTAAGCTCCCTGAATATAAATTAAAAAGGGATAAGAATCCAAAGCTAGATTAAGAAAAATTCAGGTTAACAACTAGGTAGATTCCCCCCTCCCCCCCAACAGACAGTCCTAAACAAATTT